TACAGTTCCGGAGGGATAAGAGTCCTCCATGGTGAGAAGGCATGGCAGGAGGCAGCCAGAGCCAAAAGCTGAGCACTCACATCTTCAAGTACACAGGAAGCAGAGAGAAGAAATGGAAATGGAGCAAAGGATAAATTCTCAAAGCCCAGTCCAGTCCTCTTATCAGGCCATACCTTCTAAAGGTTCCATGACTCTCCCAAAACAATGCCACCAACTGGTAACCAAAGTATTCAACTGGTGACTTGAGCTTATGGGGAAGATTACTCATTCAAACCACTACAATTGCAGCCATAAAGCTTGTCCAGGATCTGGGCTCCCTTCGACAGAGGGATCAGGGACAGAGGCCACTTGGAGTGTAAGTGATCAAGAAGTCTTCACACTCCACTTGGCCGTGGGGAGATTTGCTTCAGCCTGGGAGCTTGCTGACTGCATTCTCTGGTCACATCATGTTTACTGACTGCCTTCAATAAGTGCTCTAAGCCAGGCACAAAAATCCCACCTTTGAAAAACCAGGATATGTGGCACCCCTCAAAAAAGGTCCAGTTCACAGGAGATCAAACATTTGGAGATGAACTTACAAAAGGTCTGGTTTCTACAGGGGCATTAATACCTGGAGATTCAGGGATGGGGTAAGCTTTAGCATGTAAGTGAGCAAGGTTGGAGTAGAGGAGAGGTCAGAAATCAGGAGATTATAAAAGACTTACTCAGTACTTTAGGAGGAACTAGAAGAGAGGTGTTTGAAGATTCTAACCACAGAGAAGCACAAAGGAAATAAGAAGGCTATTTATCCTGAGCTGGGCATCACACACTGTATATATGTATTGTGTCATCACACTGTACCCCATAAATATACATGATTATTATTTATCAGTTAAAAAGGAAAAAATAAGAAGGGACTCAGGAGCCAGTGGCATGTCTCAGTAAGTAAAGGTGCTCACCAACAAGCCTGACAACGTGAGTCTGGCCCCCAGAACCCATGTAAAGGTAGAAGGAGAGAACCAGCTTCAAGTTGTCCTCTGACCTCCACACAGGCCCCGCGGCACACACGTACTATCCCCCAATAAATCAGTGTAATTTTTTTTTTTTTTTGGTCTTTTTGAGGCAGGGTCTTCCTGTAGCCCCAGCTGACCTGGAACTCGCTATGTAGACCAGGCTGGCCTCGAACTCACAGAGATCTGCCTGCCTCTGCCTCCCGCGTACTGGGATTAAAGGCGTGCACCATCACACCTGGCAAATCAGTGTAATTTTTAAAAAGAAGGGAGTCAGTTGATTAGCTTTGTGTATGTATGTATGCCCCTGCATGTGCATGAGGAGGCCAGAGGACAACCTTGGGTGTCATTCCTAAGCTCTGTCTACCTTTTTTGAGACAAAGTCTCTCATTGGCCTGGAGCTCACCAATGTAGGTGAGGCTGGCTGCCTAGAAAGTCCCAAGGATCCTCCTAGCTCCACCTCCTCAGTCCTGGGATTCAAGTGTGTGCCACCACACCTGGCTTTTCTATATGGATTCTAGGAGTTGAACTTAGGTATTTTTTGCAAGGCAAGTACTTTACCAACCAAGCTATTTCCAAAGCTCAGGAGATGAGCAGAGGTCAGAGCTGACAGAAGGCTATACAGCAAAGGGGTCCAGTGTCCCCAAAAGAGTCTGAGGCAAAAGACATCTCTATGGTTGCAATCATCTAGTGTTGCACCAGGCATTCTGTTCCCCAACAACCTGGCACACTAGACTCCCACAATGCTGGAAACAGTTGGGTCATATGCTCAGAGATGAGTGAGGCTGGATCCCACGGCCATTGCTGAACACCTTTGGAGTGAGTTCACAGGAAGCAGGAGCCTCATCATTTTGAAACCAAAGTCAGCAGAGCTAAGGTTTTCAAATAAACTTCTCTGCTACCTTGAAGAGCAGGCGCATAAGCCAGAAAGGAATACAGAGGAACAAGAAGTGAAGATGGAACCCAAGCCCACAGCAGGCAGAGACTTTCTGAAATTTTTGAGTGAAAACCTTAATAAAATGCACATGATTTTCTCCAGTAATTCTCTTTCAGTAAAGCCTCCCAAGGGACATAACGGCCACGGGTAACAAAAATGACTCCAGCAGTTTGCTGATAATAGCGGTGTGGTAGTTTCTATGAGAATGTCCCCTATAAACTCTAAGTGTTTGAGTTGGTGGTGCTGTTTTGAGCCATTTAGGAGGTGTGGCCTTGTTGGAGGTGGGCACATCACTGGGGGTGGGCTTGGAGAGTTCAGGACCCCTTCCCATTTCCAGTCTGTCTCTCTCTGCTTCCTGTGCCTGCTTAAAGATGTGAGGGCTCAGCTTTCTGCTCTGGCTGCTTTCTGCCACGCCTCCCACCATGATGGATTCTTATCCTTCTGGAACCATAGGCCAAGTAAACTCTTCCTTCTATAAGTTGCCTTGGTCATGGTGTTTTATCACAGCAACAGGAAGTAACCAATGCAAATGGCAAACAGTCAACTGCCTAAATGCTCAACAGTAAAGGATTAGTTAACACAGTGTTGTGTGTTCATATAATGGAATCCTATGCAGTCATTACAAATAGAAATGTAAACTTGTTTATTAATGAGGAAAAATTCCCAGTGTATTGAGAGTAAAGTCAGGTTATAAAAGTGCACATAATTATATTCATATATAAAAACATACAGCTCTTATATATAAATGTTTATACTAGTTACTTTCCTCATTGCTACAACAAAATACCTGATCAAAGCAACTTAAGGAAGAGTTTATTTTAGCTCACCGTTTAAAGGGAAGTCCATCATGACAGAGAAGGCATAGAGGCAGGAGTGTGAGGTCACATTGAATTCTCAGTTGGGAAGCAGATAGTGATGAATGCTGGTACTCAAACTGTGCTTTGTCTCTCTCTGTCTCTCTTTGTCTCTCTCTCTCCCCCTCCATCCCTTTCTCCCTCCCTCCCTTCCTCTCCCTCTCAACAGAGACTAATTATGTATATCTGGCTGGCCTGGATATACTTGCCATGTACACCAGACTGACCTTGAACTCACAGAGATCTACCTGCCACTGTCTCCTGAATTCTAGGATTAAAGGCATGTACCACCATGCTTAGTTTGCTTTCTCTTTTTCATTCAGTCCAGGACCCCAGCCCATGGAATAGTACCACCCACATTTAGGGTAGATCTTCCCACTTCAATTAACCTAGTAAAGAAAAGCCCTTCTGGGCATGGCGAGAGTCTTGTCTCTTCAGTCCTTCTGGATCTTGCCACATTGGCAATCAATATTAACTATCATGAGTCTAATCCTTGTCAGCTCGACACCCAAACATATCACTTTTAAGCTGTAACCTTCTACCTTTTTTCCCCATAGACTCACATCCATCTCATAATGCAAAATGCATTTAGTCCAACACCAAAAATCCCACGGTTGAACATTATTCAGAAGTCTAAGTTCAGTGTCTTCTGAGACTCAGGTAGTTTCTTATCTATGAGCCCCTATAACATCAAAAAGCAAGTTACATACTTCCAGCATAAAATGACACAGAGTAAACTTTCCCATTCCAAAAGGGAGGAATAACTGGACCAAAGCAAGACCCAAACCAGACCAGACAAATACTAAATCCTGCAGTTCCATGTCTTGCATCTTGGGCTTGTGATGGAAACATCTTGGTTTCAAAGGTAGCCCCACACCTCCGTATCTCCTACCTGTAGCACACATAGACTCTCTCTTGAGCCAGCTCCATTCCAAACCAGAGATTTGATTGGCAAATATTCCATAGTTCTGGCATCTCCAACATCCTGGGATCTCCACTGCACCATGCAGTGATCTCTTAGGACCTTTTTGCAAGGTCTCTGACCCTGCCACACATTGCCAGGCCTCAGTGACTCTTTGGAACTTTGGAGCAAGACTCCATAATCCCCTCAATCGTGCATCTTTTATGCCTGCAAAACAGGTAACATGATGCCACCAAGTTCTGCTGCCAGCTTGGGATGGAATCTGACCCCTTGGACCATAGCTATAGTGGCTTCTGTATGCCTTGATGACTGAATCTGCAAGATCACTTTCCTAGGTAGTTGTTTTCAAGCAGGGAACACCCTCTTCTCTGTTCAGGCTTTCTCCTTTCACATAAATGTGAATTTTTGCAAACTAGAAGCTTCAATGGGTGGAGCCTTGCCCTCAGGGTATTTTTCTTCTTGTCCTAGTGAAGACAATGAGGTTTCTCTAACAATTAAGGATGCCTGTCATCTACACTCTCCTTGTCTGCAATTTTAAACTTGTTCATACAACTTTCCTTTCTTAAACTTCACAGTTTTCATCTTTTTTGCTCTTTCACTGTGGATCTGAGGAAGAACCTGAACAGAATCTATGTCAAAGCCTGAATGCTATGCTCTATTGAAATTTCTTCCACCAAAGAAATTAATCTATTACTTTTTAATCCAGCTTCATGCAAATTCTCAAGACATGGGCAGAATACAGCCAGATTCTCATCAGAACGTAGCAAGAATGGCTTCTAGCCGGGTGTGGTGTAATACGCCTTTAATTCTACCACTCCAGAGGCAGAAGCACGTGGATCTCTGTTAGTTTGAGGTCAGCCTGGTCTATGTAGTGAGTTCCAAGCCAGCCAGGGCTATGTAGTAAGACCTTGTCTCAACAAAACAAAACAGAAGAAACAAAAAAAAAAAAACAGAAAAAGAATGTCTCTAACACCGTTTCTAATAGAGTTCCTGTTCCCCTCTGAAACCTCATGAGTCAGGCATCCACTGTCCACACTTCTCTTGGCCTTCTCCAGACTCCAAGCAGAATGGATCAATAAGTTTTGCTTACAGCATGCTAGCCATCCTAGCCCAAATTTCCAAATTCTTCCATATTACTTCTACAAACCAGTTCCAAAGCTTACAAACCAAATGATCATGTTTATCACAGCACTAACCTCACTTCCTACCAATTTTCTGTATTAGTTCATTTTCCTATTGCTGTGATAAAATACTCTGACAAAAACAAGCTAAGGAAAGACAGATTTATTGTGGCTTACAGTTCCAGGGGAAGTTCATCATGGCAGGAGTGTGAAATTGCTGGTCACATTGTGTCCTCAGTCAGCAAGCAGAAAGCAATAAACACTGGTACTTAGCGTGCTTGCTCCTTTTTGTTCAGTCCAAGATCCCAACCCATGGATAGTACTACCCACATTTAGGGTGGATCTTCCCACTTCGATTAAACATATAAAAAAAAATCACTCACAGACATGCTCAGAGGATTGTCTCTTTGTCATTCTAGATCCTGTTAATATTTACAATCAACATTAACCATCTCAATATGTTTGTATGTATATAATTTCACATATTAAAATGCTTAGTTTTAATGCAAAAATTGACAGAAGAACTAATCATTACAGCACACTACTTATAATCCCAGCACTCCGAAGGTGGAGGCAGGAGGATCAGGAGTTCAAGGTCAGCCTCTAGTACATAGAGAATTCAAGGCCAGCTTGGGCTACATGAGACCCTGCAAAAAGAGAGGAAAAAAGAAAGAAAATTTAGCAGAAGTTAATTCTAGCAAAAATTATCATACACAGGGCTGGAGAGATGGCTCAGTGGTGAAGATCACTGGCTGTTCTTGCTGAGAACCCAGGTTTGGTTCCTAGTACTCACATGGTAGTTAACAACCATCTGTAACTCCAGTTCCAGGGGATCTGAAACTTTCCTCTAGCCTCCATGGGCACTGAACAGCACTCATATATATGCAAGCAAAATGCTCATGCATTTATAAATTTTAAAATATTAAAAATTATCACATACAAATTTTTAAATCTTTTCATTATTATTATCTGTATAATTCAATTTTGTTTTCCTTACCTTATATTTAAGGTAACCTAGGTGAACTGACACCCCTGGTTCTTTGTCGAATTGATACAACAAATCTAAGTTATTCCCATTTCCCAGATGTCTTTCAGTCAGTCATACTGCCCTGGAGAAAAAAAGTCACTTACTTCTAAGTCTCCTTTTATCATTTTGTGTGTTCATTGTTGTTTTCAACTACCCAGAAGAACTCTCTCTCTTTGTAATCTAAGGAGCTCAGCAGGCAGGACACAGTCAACGACATGAAGTCAGTTGCCACTGTTGACCTTTCATAGAATTTATGGCTGCTTTCCATTTATACAAAGATTTTGCAATTACACTAGAGTTAAAGTTTTCTTTAGATAAGGGGAGTTAAGCTACTTGCCAATAATTCAAAGGTTGCAAGTGAGGAATTTCACAATGAGCAGAGGCAGCATCACACCTGCAGTTGAAGCTCTGGGGGAAAAAGAGCCACCTCTCCTTTAGTATCATCCCTCCAGGCCTTGATCTCTGTCCATCTTTTCATTTTAATAAACAAACAATAGCACAATAGAAATAATAAATGAGCATTTTACCCAAGCAATGACCCAGCCTATGTGGGGATCATTTCAAAACAGGAATCTGAGTCTGGCCAGACAAGATTCTGCTGAGCAAATGAAGAGAGAAGCTCCTAAAAGCAGATACAAATCTCTTTGTAATGTTTGCCCTGAGGTAAGAGGCCCCTTCACAGGAAGAAAGTCAAGTCCAGTCTATTTTTGTAGGAGCATTTCAAGTGGTCAGTGGACTTATTTCCTGTGGTTCCCAGGAATTCCGCAGCAGACTCTCAGGAGGATGTTGGTGATAGAGAACAGGGACTCAATGAGTGAGAATCAATAATTATCTCTATTTTTATAGGGGAAAAAAGTGAGGCAAATATAATCTAGAGGAAAAACATCTTCTGTAGAAGAGCAGATTTCATTACAAGAGAGGAAGAATGAAAATATCAAAGTCTCTTAGTGGAGCAGAGTCCTTGGGTCAAGAAATTGCAACCTGAAAATTTCATTTTTCTGCTCATTTCCTCTCTCTCTCTCCCTTCTTCATCACTCAACAAGTATTTGAGACACTCCTCTGAGCCAACCCTTGAGGACTAAAGAGAAGGAGGTGAATAAACATGGATTGTATCCTCTAGGAGCTTATAGTCTAAGCGATGAGAAATACATTTTTTAAAAAAACACAGTAAGGGAAAGATAGCTAATTATAAGTGGAGGTAAGCCTTGGAAAAGGAAAGAATGGGAGGGTATGAAAGAGGACAGAGGTGGGGAGGGGACTGAACTTGGGTGGGGAAGCTAAGGAAGACCTCTAAGGAGGCTGTGCTTCAGCTACCATCAGAAGGGTGAGCACAGCCAACCAATAGCCACTGTTGGAGAAGGGTATTGCTGGAAAGGGAACAGTGTGGGAAGGCAGTCATGTGGAAAAGAACACAGTGAGCCTGGGATCCAGGAGTAGATGAGGAGTCTGGGATGCAGGATGTGTGAGGATGTGCTAGACCACATAGGATCTTACAGGCCATGGCAAGGATTTATAATTTGTTTTATGAAGATTCAAATTTGTAGAAGGTTTTAAGCTGGGGAGTGACTAATCTGAAATAGGTTTTTAGACATCTCTCTAGCTCTGTGCATTAAAACGAAAGAAAGAATCCAGCTCCATTGCTCCAAGTCCTGTGTTCAAAGTATGTCCTACCCTCAGCAATAGGGTCTTACCTTCAAGTTCTGGGAGATAATCAAGGGCTTTGGCAATAGCCTGTGTTATTTTGGGCGATCTCTTGCACTACCCTGACAACATCTTGAAGGGAGATTTCTCCTGTCTGGCACCATGTTTCTTGTTACATAGCCTTCAATTATACACATGCACTCATGTACAGATATTGTATGTGTATTTTTCAGTAGAGTCCAGCTTTTGAACTAATACATTTCCCTCTGGTTTTTCACACACCTAAGCATTATCTATTTCTCTTCACTCTCCCTCTTTAAGCCCCCTTCCTCGCTCCCCAGTTAAAGTACCTTCATTTTCCCCATGTCCCCCTTGATAATGCCTGTCTCTTATGATCCCCCCTCTCTTGAGCTTTCTCCACCTTTACCTCCATGGTCTCTTGTGTAATCTTCCCTCTTCCCCTCCAGGTTAAATATCCCCATTTTACCCATTTCCCCTTGGTAACACCTGTCTCCTACTACCTCTCCCTCTTAGTCTCCTTCTTTCCCTTTACCCCCACAGCTTCTTTCCATTTTTTAGGCACACAAACTCGACTCAATAGGCCTTGACATAAATGACAGAATGCATGAAATCCTGTGGATAGGCTATGGGGGGTATTAATAGGGAAGGGGGGCTAAATATGATTAAGATACATTGTATGAAATCCACAAAAATTCAATAAAAATGTATTTTTTAAAAAGTATAGAGTCCAACAAGAAAAGAGAGTGAATTCAGAAAGGAATCAAAAGGCTTGATCAGAACACCTCAGAGAAGCCAGCCAGCCAGTAGTGCTGGGGCCAGGGTAACACGAGAGAAGCCAGTGCCATAGGTAAAAACCTTATCTAGCAATCACTCAATATTTTTAAAAATTCATGGGGCTAGAGAGATGGCTCAGCGGTTAAGAGCACTGACTGCTCTTGCAGAGGACCCAGGTTCAATTCCCAGCACCCACATGGCGGCTACGAACTGTCCTTGACTCCAGTTCCAGGAGAATCCTAAACCTTCTTCTGACCTCCGTGGCATTGCGTGGCACGGGTGCACTCACATACATGCAGGCAATACACCCATACACATAAAATGAAAATAACAAACAAAATATTTTCCAAAAATTCATTACCATGGAGAAAATATCCATATATAACAACAACAACAATAATGAAAGCATAGTGAGTAAGAATGTTTAAAACATAATGTGAGTAAAACAAACCTGGTAGGAAGTCTAATGAGGTATATACATGTGTGTGCATGTGTGTGTGTGCATGCATGTATACAGGAGTGGAACAAACAATAGTAATAATTGTAAGTTACCATAAATGTTATGAGAGAAACATATTTAGGACTGAGACACGGTCAGGGCAGTGAGAAGGCTTCCTCAGATAGAGGTGGTCCAACAGAATTAGATGCAGGGGCTCAGACACCCTGCCCCCCAAACACTGTGTTATTAAGGATTTTTTGAAAATCCCAGTGTGAAATCTTATAGTCTAATGACTATTCCTGTTGAGGTAATGTTGAAAAGCAATACCCATATACGTATTTATTTTCTATCAGAACAGATCTATAGGAGAATTACATCTATAGACAATTAGGGGTTCAGTACAGTGTCATGAAAACACTGGAAAATGGTCTGCCTATGTAAAGGCCTAGATTTATAGAATACCAGAAAAAAACCCTGAAACCTGACAAAGCCAATGAGGATCCAGGAATGTAGATGCCCAGCTGTCTGGAGGAATTATGAGCAAGAAGATGGCAGCGTAGGAAGAAGACCCTCCAACCCTCCCCTTCGTTCTTGTTGCCCAATCTGCTTTCAAGGGCCAATAACTCCAAGTGTCTCCATTTTTCAAACAGCCTCACCCAACAGAGGGGTTCTTTGATCTCTACAACATGAGGGGGGCAGTGGTGGTGAAGGAGATGAATGGCTTTGGAAGGTCAGATAGAAAAACATACAAATGAGGAGGGAGACCATGGATCTGGAGGGCTGGGAGCCCACTGTGCTTTGAGCTACCTGCCAAGACTGAATAACCCCTAGTGAGAGGCCTCATCTGGCAGAGGGGTGGACCAGTTGTGGCTGTCGGTACCTACCTGCCCTCACCATTTTCTGAGAAACAGCATCTTGACTGTAATGCGTACCTTTCTGGAGACAGGAGATACCAGGGGCAGACTTATCACTTAGGTTAGCCTTTTGGACATGAGATTTCAACTCACTTCCAAGTGCTTTCATCCCTTATCCAATGCTAGTCATTCCTCAAGGGCTTCTAGTAGTGTTCGCTTGCTCCATCTCTTTCTCATAAAACCCACCAGGGTACTGCCAAGGGCTGGGCTGTGTGGAGACTTGTACTTGGAAAGCTATGTCACAGAATCCTAAGGGCCACTGGCAGCACTGAAATAGGGCATGTAGTGCAAATGGGAAAATAGTCCTTTTTGTACTGTTCATGTAGGATTGAAGAGAATTGGTGAGAACAAGGAATCTTTAAAAATGGCCAAAGAAAGGATGTCAAAGGGAACAAGGGCTCTACTGTCTTAATGCAGCCCCTGCAAAAACTGGGCCCTGGAAAGCTTGCACCAGGACTAGTGGCTCTTTTGTTCCTGCCCTATGGACTGTGACACCCACAGGGTCCCTTTGGAAAACCTGGGCCCTGCTCTGCCACTGGCTTCCTGCCTGGCACCCCCGGGGCCCAGCTGGGGCCTCTGTGGCTCTCTTTCAAGGTCCAGAACAGAATGACACGTGAGCAAGCACTGTGGGTTTACATTCTTCCCTCGTATCCAAGCACCTTAAACACCAGCCACACACTGGCCTTGCCACTGGCTCTTCAGAGAGTCCTGCATATAGCATTTGCCTGGCAAAAAT